CTCAGTCATAGATCTTCTCTCGATACGATCCAGATAGACGATTGCCAATAGCGGCGATATTCTTAATCCCATAGCAAAGCCTCTCTTCCGTGAATAGAACATTCCATCGAATTGGAAGATGTTACATTTCAAGGTTGCTGACAAAAGCAGTCGTAGATCTTCCTCTATCAATCAGAAAGTATGTACTTCATGTTGATGTTGTCGTAGAAGTTCTATCACAGCATTTACAGCTTCACTGTTATTCACATTCGTGTATAAAGAAACCACGTCAAAACTTGCGTAAAAGGCATCATCAGGTATCTCACAGCGGGCCAAAGCTGACATGAACTCTCGTACGTTGACTGAATGGGCCGCTACGTAATGCAGTAACGGTGATATGTGCTTCATGAGGAGCCAACTGACTCTGTCCGATGGCCCACCGCGTGAAGATATTATTGATCTGGTCTTGATCAAGTTCTCATCAATGTGGCATAAATCCATTTCTTCGGAGAACTCGTGCGTTTTAACCAATGCGTAGTACGTTGGTACAGCCGGATATGTCAGAAGGAATCGTTTAACAGTCCTCACATCCATGATCTTGCTTAGAGTTCGCGCTGTGGTGCTTCGTAGTTCATTCCTAATTACTAACACTACGGGAATTCTAAAGGCTATGCAGGGAAAGGGAGTCGCACTCTTGCCAGAAGAGAAATTTTTCATTAGGGAAGCTTACAAAATCCAACAGACCTACCTCCTCTAAAATACTGTTGAGTATTTGTACTATTTAGGAATTCAATGGGTGGCTGAAATTACAGGATGCCGATTTGACCGATTTGCTGGCACTGAGCCGTGGAGTACTTTCGGAGTGTTTCGGAACTCTTCAAGAGCTTTGAAACTATGTAAAAAGCACCATAGGTTGTCTGGTTCAGAATTCGTCTGACCTCTCGTCATGAAGATTTTTATCGCATCGCCCCATTAGCAAGAGTCTGCCCTATGACGGTCCCTAAAATTGCAACCCCGGGAAGCGACTCGGTATTCCCTATTCGACTCTTTGAAACGTGTCCGGTGCTCTTGAGTTTTAAGCGCATGTTTCTGGGATTACGAAAAATGGAAACTTAAGACTGTGCACACTGAGAGGATTGGGGCAATCACCTATAAGAAAATGGCTCACAACGATGAAGCCAGCGTGAGTCACATCGCTTTTGATCTCAGGATCTGCCGTCACTCCTTCCAGAAAATCTTGGGGAGCAATCGTTATTTGGAGAGATTATCGACTCTTTCTATGCTGGTGGATTTATTGGAGCAACCCGAATAGATTCATCTGAAAAGATGCAAAAAGTTTCCGCACAAGCTCGAGGTGTGGCGCATCTCTCTTACGAATTGGGTTAACGAGAAAATTTTCGAACTAAACTCTTTTGCGACCACAAAGCCAGAGGAAGATGAAAAAGTGTAGAGATGACGTCTAGATTACAACAGACTTTCTCCCGAAGTAGTGGTTGACGGGGTAACATCCAAAAGTGCAGCTCCATTGGAGTTCATCTTCCACGAATGTAAAATTGAGGCTAGCAAAAGACTTCAATGAGATACACTATGTCGTTCTGGATTCACGAGCGTTTTGCTCATTGCTCTTCGAAGCTGGGCTCCCTAATACGCGCTCAACTCGACCGAAGCCATGGTGGGCGCTGACTACCAGTGCCACTGGAGCAAGATATTGTGATAACCCTATGGACTTCTCTGTGTGAGGACCTTGTAGAGCGAGACCTCAAAAGGCTTCTCCAGCTCGGCGGATGCTCTTCAGAAGAGATGGGACGACATCGCCTTTGGCTACCTGCGGCGCACTGCTGATTTCGTCGTTAGATGTCAGAAGGCTCATCTCAAAGCAGAGTCATTAAATTCAAAGCAGCTTCTGCACAAGTGATCAAATAGCCCAACTCTATATTGATGTGAAGTCGGTTTTCTGATCGAGTCTATTTCTCGGCTTTTGCACACAAAAACAGGGCGTGCTATACTTTTCAGCCAGCTTGTATTATTGGCTGGTGTTTCCGTTCCCTCCCAAGCAGGCCTGTTACCGCTGTTCTGTTCGTTGCTGAGACATGTTGTGTTGTTTGATCTGTTGCAAGGAGAGGGGCTCAAATGCCCTTCTCCTTGCAACAGATCAAAGCGACTTCACCAGTATAGGTGATCCTCGACTCTTTGACAACACTCGTGTTGACACTCTCTCTGAAAGAGGATTGATCTGCGATATTCGAGCGTCTGTCTACCATTTTCAATGCCGCTTATGTCCAAGTAAATAAACCTTTATACATGAAAGTTAATCAAATTTTCTGTTGTTGTTTACATCCAACAATTGCCTTGCATATCGTGTCAACTCGTCCAAACCAGTATGTCGACATAGCTGAAACGGAGTATGGGTGAGAAAGAGCAAATGGAATAAAAATTCAAACCGGAAGCACTTTAGCCGATATCATAGTGCAAAAATATTCCGAGCAGTGCACCACTTTTATCCTTTTGTTCCGATAACTTGGTGTGTCAGCTTGCATGTATGTCTGTTTGTCCGTCCGCAAAATAGAGTGAGTGATAAGGCAGCTAATGCAACAAAAAAACCGCTGGGAAATCTGGGTAGCTTGCAGGGCTCCCTGTCATCGTTTCGCAATGGCATTATTGCGAAAACACCCTAACGGTCACATACAGGGTGGGCCAAAATCATGAAGACCAAGACACTGCGACGTTAAAAACGCATGGTAGCTCGATGGAACAAACAAACTTCGGGGAAGCGTTTGTAACTCTTATCTCAAGTGAATCCAGAATAGAATTGAGATCTGCCAACTGTCGCATTTACACGAGCCTAGATGATGTGGATGGCACGTGTGGTGGCACGCAACTGAGGGGTGTCAAAATATTTGCAGGCCTTCTGCTCTGCTTTCTTCAGGAAATCTGAGTCTTATGGGACATTTATTTGCACTTGCCTCCGGGTGTGAAATACAGAAGCCTAGATATATTGGGTAGAAGGTCCAATTTAACGATTCTTGAAAGCAACGAGCTCAAAAAATCGCTTCTTGGGAGAATTTTGCTCTATTCTTGGGTGCTCGGTCCTGTAAAAACTTCCAAGTAGAGTACCCGAGTGGTTTTCCATCCACTACAAATGTGGAGCCTTTAGAGTGTCTGGCTGGGTTTGCACATCGATTTTTTTCATTTTTGGAGTACGAAAGTGGACAAGGGGAGAGCTAGTTCTGCATCTGATAATTGTTCTAGTTGTAACTGTAACTTTCGAGCCTCCGAATTGTCCATCTGTAGTGGTTCCAAACCTATTGAAGAGTTGAACTGTTGTCCATAAGAGCTTTTTTCGCTAAGTTAGACTGCCGCTAGATGTAACGTGTCAGAACCCCTAGTGAGCTCAATTTGAAGACAGAAGTAAGGTGATGTAATTATTGCACTAGTTTCGAGAACTGCAAGATATCCAGTTTCAGTAAGAGTAAGACAATGAACCTTTCACATAGCGCACAGAATAGGAGAGAAAACGGAGTTCCGGCACTCGCCGGCAGGGTCGGCCCTACGTTGTTAAGAGTAATAACGAGGGGATCGTACTCAGTTGAGCTTGGAGGGGAGGACGCGTACTCTCTCGTTGGCCGGCAGTGAGATTCTCGGCGATATCCTATTGATCATGTTACGTTTGCGCAAGACGACAGATTCTAGAGCATCTACAAACCACGTTTAGTTCTATGACCTTTTAAATGAGTCAGCGAATCGAGTGGGCGCCCAAGGCGCACCAAGGCAAGAGATGTAGTGCGAGCGCATGCTCGTCGCTCTCTAGCATCCTAAGTTGAACATGAAATTGGTCTACCAACAAGTTACTAGCAGTGGAACCTAAAACACCCGCGTTTTCGAAAAAATGGCTTGAGAATACCCCTCAAAAAAGTCACAATGGGACTAATTTTTGAAATGCTGACTTTTCAGGAGTTCTGGCGTTCATAAGAAAGCTTGAATCCTTCAGTTTGTCATAACGTGTTCCTCTTCTCAAATGAATGACTTTGAAGGAAGTTATGATCGGGTAAAAAAGTCGCGGTTCCAGAAAAATAGTAACGCAAACCTCCCAAAAGATAACAGAGGTTAAAGGAAGTGCGCGTTTGGAAAGAACATCCTACAATTGTCTTCTCGGGCTCAAAAATGCGTGAAAAGAGCGCTCGGCGTTTTGACCGTGGGTGAGCGTGGATTATGGTGTCCCCTACAATGGTGTAAGCAGTGAGGTTGCCTGCTTCCACCCATTCGATGGGCACTTTCGCCTATTCTCAGCGCTTCAAATTGCTTCTTCCCGTCACAGCACACTTCGCGAGGGAAAGGATACTCTTGTTTTCAATGCTTTCGATTACTTCCCTAATTTTTGTTTTGCTGTAAGTTCACTCAAACCTTCACTTTCGTTTTCGGGTGCAGTACCAGCGTAACTAACAAGTCGTACAATGTGCATTTAGAGTGAGCTACCAGACTTTAATGTAAAAGTTATATCGATATTCATCATTCATAGCCACGTACTTAAACTGTGGGCCAATTGCGCAACTAGAGGCACATTGAATGATAGCAGCTCTCAACGTAGAAATTCACACGTTGTTTCGCTGCCTTTGATTCCCGGTTTAGGGCGTTCATACTGGTTAGAGCCGGAGCCCTGCAGTAAAATAATGACATAGTATGCCGAAGGCCAATGGTAAGTTCACCGCTGATGATAGTAGAGCGAACAATATGTAAAATGTAATCTTTCTAAAATGTTAACATTCCTCTTATCGCACTTCGTCATCTTTGCGAGGGAGTGGGGAGGGGTTGTATCAAATCACCCATGAAGGGGGAGGTCGTAAAAACTTTCCAAAGAGTAACAACGATAGGGTTGACCCTGCTGGGGCCTAATCTGGTTATTCAATGAACCAGTGAGGGTGATTTCCCGATAGGAAAAATATCCTTTAAGAGAGTCCTGAGAGGAAACTTGTTTTTTTTTCGAATTATCGCATAAATGCCTCATATATGTAATTTGGTTTCAGCTTACAGTTCCGTGAACAAAAATTCTGTTCTCGAAAAAATAGAAGACAGCAATTCGTGAATACCGGAAAGGAGCAGAGACGGTATTTGGAGTGGAGCACATGGTAGTCGAGCATGCATTGTGTGTGAAGCGTCGGCAAATAGGAATTGAACTCAAGCTTTAGAAGAAATGACTTCAACATCCGGACTTTGGAGAGTGTACACAAAATTTTAAACGAGGTGACTGCGATTGAACCCATACTAGGCACGAATGTGAAATTTATTCTCGCTCTATCTTCATTTCTATCGCGCCGCTGGTGTTGAAATGCTTTGAGCGGGAGACCGATGTTTCTGCTCCTAGGGTCAGTCACCACAGTACGGGAGCCCCAACTCGACCGTTCCGTCTCCATCTCAGCTCTTATCCTGAGTCCATCGGTGACAGCGCGTGAATCCACCCCACCTCTAAGCCAGTGCAAGTGCTTCCTTGGAACAAATCAGGTCGTAAAGAAGTTACTCTTCACCATGGGTGAGAAGACCAAAAAGAGTTCCTATTGATGGTGCCGCAATAGACAAATGGAAGCGCTACTACGTAGTTTCTTCAATGCTGTGCTATGTAGCACTCCTACTTTTTCAAAGTAGCGATAAGTAAGCCAATCAGATAGTCTGATCCAATCCCTTAAATGTTTATCGAAGGCTTGATCGGGAATCAGATCCAGTTTTGTTTTATACATAGTAAT